GATTCCAGGGGGGGGGGGTCTTCCGGATCTCTCCATCCAACTCCTAATGACCATCTGGGCATCTCAGCTGGAGTTTCTTCCAGAGTAAGGTCAGCCAACAAGTCGGCGGCTGGCATCTCTGGTAACTGCATTGGATGCCCCCCCGCAGCTCCCTGGTCATCTTCATCGCTGGCTGGAGATGACATGATGTGAAACCCCCTCGGAAGAAAAATTGGTGTTTTCTCCGGGTGGGCTGATGGTGAGTTTCGGAATAATATCAGTGTGTGCTCCTTTCAAAATCCAAGAAAGAAATACCCGGACTCCATGGATCAGAGCAAAGTTATTCTTTTACTAGAAAATGAAAAGGAAGCTACAGATGGAATTCCGAAACTGAGAATTTGGCGCACAGATCACACATACAAAGAAATGGAATTGTTCCCACCCCCCCGAAGTCCAGAAGTCTCTTCCAATTAAAAGTTCTGAATATGATCATGTGGGCATCTTCAGGTGGTGATGAGGCCTCTGTCCGTTGACCTTGACATATTTTGATAAGACTTCGCAGCTGCGCAAAAAGGGATAGAGGCTAGCAAGGAAATGGAAAGTTGAAAAGAAGAAATCATACACCCCCTCCTTTTGCTACCCACAGTAAATGAATGCAAAACACCTCCAGCTCTCTTCCCCCCCACAATTACCCCTCCCCCCATTGCTAATGACAGCCGAAAGAATTAAGCCTAGCAGTAGAGAAGATATGGGAGAAATAAATGAGATAGATAGCAGTTAGGGTACCCGAAGAGATCTTGAGGCTGACAGCTGGGAACATAAATAAGAATCCCATATCCCAGATAATAAAATTGGACACAGAGAAACATTTTAAATGGAATAACGAATCATTTTTTGGAAGAATTCACTGAAAGGATTGAAAGGAAACTAAACATCTAAAGAGGCTTCATACTGTACTGTGAAGACATGTCTGAGTTGACAACAGATGTCCTCTGCTAAAAATAGAACAAACTGAATTATTCTGGGAATACAAAGTGCTATATTTATATTTCTCAATCCATAGAGAGAGTATCCACTGTAGCATTGGGATTAATGCTATTAATATTGGTAGCAGTAGTCTTATTATTTAAATTTGAATGCCTACCCACAGGGTGGGCTCCAGCCTGTTCGCGCTAGTTCGGACAAATTGGATGTTAATTTTACAACCAGTTCAGTGAACTGGTAATTCCAACTGTGGTATTCACAGAACTGTCGGCAATCCCCACTCAGGTCTGCAGTTCTGTCGGGAGCGCCGATCGCTCCCATTGGCTGATGCCGTTTGTCAGCTAGCTATAAAACGCGCTGTCAAACAGCATCAGCTGTTGCCGCCAGCTGATCTGCCTTGTTAGCCTCGGCAGCCACAGCAACCCTTTATTCATTGAATAAAGCTTATAACTGATCGCTCTGTATTCACTCCACAACACCAACAATAGGCTGAACCTGCTCCACCCCACACTTCCCCTACCAAGAGTCCGTATGTGATCCATTTTAGATCCCAGGTAAGTGCAGGGGATGCATATTGCCCAGAGAGGTGGAAAATGGGCCTTCTAGAAGCTTGGGAAGCCCCAAAATGGGCCTATTTCCAGCCTCAAGAGTCCAGGGAGATAGAAAACAGGCCTCTTAGGGGCTCATGGAGGGTTAAAATGGGCCTATTTCCACCCTCCAGAGAGCCTCTAAAGCTCAGGGAGGTGGAAAATGGGCCCTCCGGTCTGTTTTCCCTCCAAGGATGGTTCAGGAGGCCAACTAGGCCAAGCCCACCATGGCCACATCCACCCAGCAACCGAGCAGAGAACTGGTTGTTAAATTATTTGCCCATCACTGCCTACCCATCTGGAGGAATTATCTCTGAGCAGCCAACAACCAATACAAACACCACACAAAATAGAAATTAAAAAATGAGTATGTGAAATGCATACAACTTCTCAGAACTTTTTTAAAATATAAATCAGGACATAATTTCCACTTTAAATTAGCCATTTGGTTTCCCACAATATGAAGTTTGAATACTTTCCTGAATCCATTTCTCTTGATTCTACACCAATCATTAGAGGGAGCAAAAAGGATTCCGTAGCCAAAATGCATCCCAACATTATTTTCTGTCCTTCCTTCCTTCCTTCCTTTCTCCCTCCCTCCCTCCCTCTGTTTATTTTAATTTTTATGTTGCCTATCTAAGAAATCAACTCTGGAAAATAACAACTGATAAAGAAACCCACACAAAATAGAATCTAAAACCAAAATGATCCTTGGGTTTCTTCAAAATGTCACATTACAGGCAAAAAACAAATGAAACCTTTCCTGAACTCAGATGTGCTGCTATTTTCATGATTTGTTACTATGAATCACATTTCAGAAATGATGAAATTTTTCAAGTCCTTGTTTCAGTTGCTCTTCTAGAATGGCTGCTTCATTTTTCATATATCGTCCATTTATTAAAGAGAGGCAGAAATGATCCTGAGCCTAAACTATTTATTCTTCCTTGTACTCCTTGCAGGTAATGTTTCACTCTATCTAGAGTTTCCTTTCAATTTCTGTTCTTATATACAGGAAATCTCAATGAAAAATCCTTCTTTTCAGGTGTACAGTCTGAGGTCCAGTTAGTGGAGTCTGGAGGGGATGTGAGAAGACCTGGAGAGTCCCTCCGTCTCTCCTGCCAAGCCTCTGGATTCAGCTTCAGCAGCTACTGGATGGGCTCGGTGAGACAAGCTCCAGGGAAAGGACTGGAATGGGTGGCTTTGATAACTGCTGGTTCAAGTACTTACTACTCAGACAAAGTCAAGGGCCGCTTCACCAACTCCAAGGACGATGCCAAAAGCCAGCTGTATCTGCAAATGAACAGCCTCAAACCAGAGGACATATTACTGTCCGAGAGACACAGTGAGAGGAAGTGAATCTGAAGCCTGTCAAGAACTTTCTCTAGTTTTGAAAAGCTTATGCTTATACTCAGGTCCCATTAATCTCTAGAGGGATCTTGTGTTTCTGGTGGGAGAGGGGGCAATTTGGGTCATGTTTGCATGGGGTTTTCTTTGCTCCTTTCCCCTGCTTTAATGTACCTCTGGGATGTTGGTGGGCTGGGGGAATGTTCCTTGGTCCATCTGTTTCGTTTCACCATCAGAGCAGAAGTGGTATTCAGCAGGTTCTGACCAGTTCTCGAGAACTGGTAGTGGAAATTTTGAGTAGTTTGGAGAACTGGAAAATACCACCTCTGACTGGAGATTTTGCAGTATCCTTCCCCTGCAATGCCCACCAAGCCACGTCCACAGAAACGGTAGTAAAAAAAATTGAATCCCACCACTGCACCAGAGATGCAAGACCTGGGAACTGCCTGTTATCACCTTCTCAGCCCAAAGTTCTCATAACTTCTTCATACCTTAGGATTGGATCAAAGGTGAACTGGACATTGGGAGGGGCCTCAAAAGGGGCAGTTTAACCTAACGCTCCAGCACATAAAATTCAGAGTCTTCCTAAACTCTCTCTGCTACCACTGTCTTCCAATAAAAGTTCCTTTTGAAATCCATTTTGTTTCAAGAGTTTTTCTTTCTTGAGAAGACTGGCGAGGCAGGAACTTACAGTCCTTTTATTTCTTTCCTTGCTGAATATCACCAGTCTTATTAAGTATGGGAAATAAGAGGCTGAACCAGGGCTTAGTGCAACAA